AGTTTATTGATATTTATATTAAAATGTAGGGGGTAAGGGAACATTCTGGTTACCTTGTAGTAGTCACTAGTGTAGGACCGTTATAGAGGACCGTTAATGCCACCATAGTTACCTTGTAGTAGTCACTAGTGTAGATGTCGCGGCTCATGCCAAAATCGGCTATCTTGACGACGCCAGCGGCGCTGACGAGACAGTTCCTCGTGGCCAGGTCGCGGTGGACGAAGTGGCGGCCACTGAGGTAGGTCATGCCAGCGGCCACGTCCACTGCCATCTGCAGTAACGCCCTCTGGAGGTGGTAATGGTAATAGTATTGGTAATGGTAATAGCCCTTTGCTAGCGGCAGGTGGTAATGGTAATGTTGATATTAATAATGATAATGGTGTTATATGAACATATTTTTGGTTGCATCGTCACCTGATCGAAGGTTGATCCCATCAGATCTTCCTCGTCCACGGTGACATCGTCTTCTATATCAGATTCATCGTCGTCTTCCTGACGAGGATCGGTAGCGAGGTGGTCATGAATCCCCGTTTCCTTAGTAAAAACTTGGAATTCTGCTTCGCACTTTCCACTGTCGTCAATTCCAAAGTTTTTGTTAAAAGGATCAGGGCAGGAAAACCTAGGCCGTTCTTTTATGGAACTTTTGCCGTTGATTGAACCCCTGCCGGAATTGTTGACAATGCTTCTTGTTAACCCGCAGAGACTTGAACGGGGCCTCCAACTTTTCTTCGAGTCCACCAAGTTTGGTCCAAATAAGTCTTGGTTTTGATCGATTGCTTTTCGGTTGAGGTTGGGGTCAATCAAATGTTTTCCAATTCTGTTTTCGTCGAGCTTCAAGGTTTCAGATCCTTGATACCCAATTTTTTCGTTGGGATCACAAAACACGGCGAGACCCTCTTCGTTTTTCTCACTGTTGAAACTTAAACTAACGTTTGGGTTTTGGAATCGTGGGGTACTACCCCGATGGTTCCAGTTCTGTTCCGTCTGTGGTTCATCATTTAGTAGGCTCTCGACAAGGGATTCTTGACTTTGAGGAGTTAGGTATCCTTGGACCTTTCCCTTTGACTTGGGTACTCTCCTAAAGGACCTCATGTTCAACATGAGTGGAGGTGCTCGCGTCCGAAGCAGGTTTGCCAGGTCTCCCAACTCCATGTACTCGAAGACCATCCATGGTGTCCTTGGGGGGTCTGAAAACCCCACGCACAAAATAAAGGAAAAGTTTAATGAAAGATATCTATAGTTTAATGTTTAATGTTCCAGTGTACATATGCCCTATGTATCGTAATATTGTTATCTTAACCATGCAATGTCATGTCGTAAATACAAAAGTTATGCAAGAAAAATTCCATGGCAAGCCGGAAAATACATTTTTAGTTTAATGGTTGAATTGAACCACGATATGATGAATTAAAATAGCATGATAATATTAAACACAATGCCTACAATGAGAAATATAGAAGAGTTTGGAGAAACACGAACCTGGGACGACGATACCGAGCAACCGCACAATATTCTCGTGGTCAAAAGCTGACATCATTTCAACCTCCCTCATGAAATCCTCCCTCAGTGCCCCTCCGGCGCTCCCTGTGGTCTCTTTCAACACTTTCACGGCCACAACCAAGTCCTCAAAATTATTTTCATCACTTTCTTCAGATCGAGTGAGTAAACTTTCATTCACGTAATGGCATTCATCTTTAACTGGACTCGCATGCATCGCGCCACTGGCAGCAGCGTCAGGGTTGCCAGATGCACGAGGACAGTGTAAATCTGAAGCAGGTAGCAACATTCTTGTTTCAAAGTCGCACATTTTCGAGTATTCCAACAGAGGTGAAGATTTCATTTCTTGCAGAAGCCCTGTGGTAGGTTATTGTGGCATGAATACGCGGTAGTAAAACAGGGCAGAATTAAATGGAAATCCTATATGAATGAATGAGTCTTTCAGTCCAAAAAATGAGTCGTACTATCATGCACTTCTGATGCGCCATCTTGCGGGGCAAACTGGGTCAGGATGGCCCTCACAAGATCGGGAAGCGCATCACAATTTGGACATAGTATCGCTCATTCCTCTGAGTAGTATCACGTGGTATTGATGCATGGTATTAATTCATGGAATTGTTAATTAATATTATTAATACATATTGTTAATACTCGGTATTGGAAGCTTTTAGAGGCGTATCATAAAAGAAAGCAGAATTTGTATTACTATTATATATTTTCAGTTGTATTTTATTGGCCTTTGTTTATTTATACAATGAACAATTAGAAATCGTCTATATTAATCATATTATTTTTTACATTATCAATTCTAGACCACATTTAGACCAAATTTAGACCACATCACTTGACCCCTATGCAAACCTTCTAGACCACACTAGACTCCTGTAGACCACAGTAGACCCTTGAAACCCCCACTAGGACCCTAAAGACCGAGCCCCAAAAGACCCCATAAGACCCCTGCAGACTTTTTGGACCCCACCAGACCTCTACAGATCATCTAGACCCTACAAGACTGCTGCAAATCCCCTAGACCCTACTAGACCCTTGCAGATAATCTAGACCCCACTAGACCCCTGCAGACTATTTAGACCCCACTGGACCCTGCACACCCTCAAGACCCTTGGCAATAGCTAGACCCTGGTGAGGACCGGGTGGTCTACGGTGTCGAGTGTCTAGAGGCAAGCGGAAGAAAAGCAAACAACTCCCCACCTCCAACTCCCCACCTCCAACTCCCCACCTCCAACTCCCCACCTCCAACTCCCCCACCTCCAACTCCCCACCTCCAACTCCCCACCTCCAACTCCCCACCTCCAACTCCCCACCTCCAACCTGTCTCTTATACACATCTAGATGTGTATAAGAGACAGGNTAATAACAGCTAATGGTGATAATGGTAATAACAGCTAATGGTGATAATGGTAATAACAGCTAATGGTGATAATGGTAATAACAGCTAATGGTGATAATGGTAATAACAGCTAATGGTGATAATGGTAATAACAGCTAATGGTGATAATGGTAATAACAGCTAATGGTGATAATGGTAATAACAGCTAATGGTGATAATGGTAATAACAGCTAATGGTGATAATGGTAATAACAGCTAATGGTGATAATGGTAATAACAGCTAATGGTGATAATGGTAATAACAGCTAATGGTGATAATGGTAATAACAGCTAATGGTGATAATGGTAATAACAGCTAATGGTGATAATGGTAATAACAGCTAATGGTGATAATGGTAATAACAGCTAATGGTGATAATGGTAATAACAGCTAATGGTGATAATGGTAATAACAGCTAATGGTGATAATGGTAATAACAGCTAATGGTGATAATGGTAATAACAGCTAATGGTGATAATGGTAATAACAGCTAATGGTGATAATGGTAATAACAGCTAATGGTGATAATGGTAATAACAGCTAATGGTGATAATGGTAATAACAGCTAATGGTGATAATGGTAATAACAGCTAATGGTGATAATGGTAATAACAGCTAATGGTGATAATGGTAATAACAGCTAATGGTGATAATGGTAATAACAGCTAATGGTGATAATGGTAATAACAGCTAATGGTGATAATGGTAATAACAGCTAATGGTGATAATGGTAATAACAGCTAATGGTGATAATGGTAATAACAGCTAACGGTGATAACATTTAATGGTAATAATGGTCACCTTTATAGACTTTGCCAAAACAGCCTTCGCCCAACTCGCCCACGAAGCGCAGGCGTCCCGCGTCCAGACGTCGCACGGGACGCGTCGTCCCCGGCGTCCCTGGCATCTCTGTCGTCCCTAGAGACGTTCCTTTTTGAAGTACAAACCAGAAAAAAATTATACTTCTGGCAAATGACGTTGAATCAACGTTTAATCTACGGTATTTAAACGAAATACTAACGTCGTCAGATGTCTGGTAGGAAATTTATTTCGTTTAGATGTATGCAAACAAAACTTTTTAGGTTCGATCATTTCTTAAATAAATACAGAACAAATCCATGAGTAACCTTACAATGATCACTAAATACAGTGGAAACCATTGAGTAACCTTACAATGAACACACTTTTTATTGAAGTTACACTGAGTGAAGGAATTATGTAAACTTCGATTGTATAAATTTACGAACAGGGATAATCACGGAAGTCGATCTCAATCCAAAAGAGCGTCGACTACTGAATCAAATAGTTTTTTAGCGCAAAAAAATGGGAACAGAATACTTAAATAAGAGCAACGGTGTTTGAAAACATTCTTACTTCAGTGCCGTTTGTCTATATAATAAACATAAACAATAATGTTTGTTTATAAGGGCTTACGTTGAATTTCAATTCGGTCGACCTTCATGGCTCCACTGTATCTATCTTTGTTTCAAACCAGATATTTCTCTTGTAAAAATATAGAACATTCGCAGTTCAATATAAAAAAGAATAAATTCAAGCACCAGTCTCACCAAAAATTGAAGTTGTGTCTTTCAGGCTCAAATGTGTAGAAGTTATTGATGCCAATCTGGACAAGATGGCATTTGTGTCCGAGTTGTTCCTGGACGACGCCAGTCTGGAAAATATGGCATTTGTGTCGGAGTTGTTCCTGGACGACGCCAATCTGGACAAGATGGCATTCGTGTCCGAGTTGTTCCTGGACGACGCCAGTCTGGAAAATATGGCATTTGTGTCCGAGTTGTTCCTGGACGACGCCAGTCTGGAAAAGATGGCGTTGGTATCGCCGATTTGGTCGGTGAAACTCGTTTCAAAAACGCCGTTCAACCCGAATTGGGTTGAGGTTGGGGTTGCGGTGTTGGTGTAGTAGTTAGGGTTGCTTGCGAAGGCGTGCACGAAACTTTTTGTCGCGTGGCTCAGGTTGAAGTTGGTCGATGACCCCATGAAACGCTGGGTGAGGTCGAGGTTGGGTTAGAAACAATTTTGCATCAATAGTCAGCTTATACTTTAGCGGCAATGTCCCATATAATGCAATATTCAGCGTCATATAGAGCCATGTATATTGTACAGCCGCATGTAAAGCACTAAAATGACAATGTCATATTCAGCCTTATAGAGTGCCTATCTTAACAAAATTCTATAGTACCGCCTCGGCTTCTGCCCAGGGGCCATACTTTCAAAACTCGCTAAGTGAACGTAAGTACATACGCTCTATTTTCTTGTCTATGATTGGTGGATTTTGCTTGAAAGGCCGTCAATGATTGGCTGATGAACTTACGATCTCTTAACTTTTTATGAAAGTATAGGCCCTGGAGTCGCTACACTTGGCTCAAAGTTACTCTGGGTCTGTTTGGCCACCCGATCGAAATCAGATTCTTGTCAGAATCTCATTTCCGACTTTACAGTGATTGCATGACAAGTGTGTCCTGGGCGTCCTATAAATGTGTACTAGGAGTTTGAAAAGTGTGTACCGAAAGTATGAGAAACTGCTCTGAAACTGCCCTTTAAACCCATAGCCGAAGCTGACATTAGCTGCTGATTCAAGTGCTCCCCGAGTCTGGGGCGGCACTTAATACAGAATCGTCTCATCAAAATTTTGTTAGGGTAATTTTGTAAATTCAGAAGTGAGCAGTAGCGCGCTACATGTAGCGACCGCTACTAGCGGCTGCTACATTTTCAGTAGCGGTAGCAGGAGCGGCGCTACATTTAAGCAATTGTAGCGGTAGCGCCCGCTACATATTTAAGTAGCGATACGAGGTTTTACCGCTACAGCGCTACCACTACATTTGTAGATAGATCCTTTAGATTTTACTTAATAGTATTAAATATTATTTAAAAAGCAGCATGATACATGCATAATATAAAAACAGAATAAAACTGTACGAAATTTTTCGGTGTAATGTTGTCAACCTCAGCCTGTTACTAGTGTCAACATGTTAGTTGTTACCAGAGGTGGGCAGTAGCGCGCTACATGTAGCGGCCGCTACTAGCGGCTGCTACATTTTCAGTAGCGGTAGCGGCGCTACATTTAAGCAATTGTAGCAGTAGCGGTATCGCCCGCTACATTTAGAGCATGTAGCGGTAGCGGTAGCGGCCGCTACATTTCACAGTAGCGCTGCCCAGCTCTGTGTAAATTTTATAGTAACCTGGCATAAGGCTAGTACGCACCTGTATCTACAAAATTAATATAATTAACTTAATAACCCCGTTCACCCTAATCACCTTCTTCTTGGACAGTTCGCCGAAGTACCTCCTCGACCTCCACACCATCACCCCCAGCACCACCAGCACCGCCATCACCACCACCGACGCCGCACCTACCGCCCATAGCTTGGGGGAGAAGAGGGGAAAAGAGTTATAACTAAAATAAAATATATTTTGTGTACAATAGTATCTGTACTGCTATAATGTCTGTACAAATGAAATCTATATAAACAAACGTATATAATGCGAATATAATATGTATGAATATCTAAAGATGTCCCACTAAGCTGTCCAGGGAATCCAAAAAGATACCAAATTACATAATTTATTTAAACGTTATATAATGTAATAATTTGTTGTTCTAATAAATGTAGTTTTGTTATTTGTCTTAATAATGACATAAACAATTTCTTTTGGTAATTCACATTTTTTTAATTATAATAATTTAAATCAAAGAAACAATGGATTAATTTAGGAAGTCAGTAGTATATTTTATAATATATTTATAATATCATATTTATTTATATATTATAATATTATATTATATATTATTATATTTATAATATTATATTTTATAGTATATTTTATATAATCAGCATATAAGGAATTTGCGTCGCATATTATGTGTTTCAAAATATAGAAAAAATATATTCTAACTGCATTACGTTTAAGTAATATTTTAAAATATTTAATAATGATATAAATGTTATTGTAATTCAAGTAATACTAATATTATTGATAAATATTATATACCACTAGTAACTGCCACTAGTACTGGCAATACCAGTCAATACCACTAGTATTATTGTTAATTAACTATTTTTAATATGTTTCGGTAGTTAATACTAAAAAGGGATTATTCAGAAAATTAACTTATTCAAAATTCAAGATTAAACTAAAACTGATCATTTTAAATTACTGAAATTCCAAGATTTATTCGATTAATAATTTAAAATAAAGTATAAACTATAGATAAACAATAATTTAAATAAATAAAGTTGGCATTGAATTTATCCATTAACAATTGAGTTTTGATTTATTTAAATATTTAAACTAATAATATTCGCCAGCATACCTGGCGGGTGTGGTGCGGGTTGCCGCCTGGGTGGTGGGGGAGGGACACCGCCGAGGGGGTGATGTTCACTGCAATGTGCATAGATATTTTTTACATAGGCATAGATATAGATAAAAATAGCTATAGATAATAGATATAGATAGCAATGTGCATAGATATTTTTTACATAGGCATAGATATAGATAAAAATAGCTATAGATAATAGATATAGATAGCAATGTGCATAGATAGTTTTTTAGGCTTGGATACAATACTCAATAATATTCAAAATATGTATTGAAATTAAAAGGGCATCGTAGGCCGCAAATCAGCAATAAATATTAAAAAACGAGCAAGAAATACTATATACAAAATGAGAAGAGCAGCACTTTTCAATTATAAATCATAATTAATGAGTTGAGTGGTAATCGCCAATTAAAATTAATGAGAACTTCTTAACTCGTTCATTAATGTTATAGGCAGTCTTTAGCCTATGTAAGCGTACGGATCAAATCAACAGTTTGTACATTTAAGGGTGAATAAGGGGAACATAGGGGATGAAGGGTAAAACTTACATGTTACTTATACTTATTATACAAAGATTTATTATGTTATATTATATTATATTAAATTATACTATATTATATTATATTATATTATATTATATTAAACGTGGTACAACAGAGCACGACTCATGGGGTTGCACAATCTTCCTGTCAGGACAGAGGCAGATGAACGGCGCCGGCCCAACCCTCATTTCCGACACTGTTCTCGTCTTTCTATGCGGTTTACCCTCACTTTGGCCCTCTGAATTCCAAGTTTTCTTCAGAGCTTCCCTTGACAAAGTTTTCTTCTTTCGAGAGAGGACCGATTTCGGTCCTCTAATAGTTTTCGTGGCAGTTTCTGCCGCGTGAATTTGCGGTTGATTTTTGCTAGTAGACGAAACGGCTGATTCACCCTCAGCGGGTGTTGAAAAGGACCTCATGCTTGGGATCAACAACTTCTCTCGGGTTTTCAGGGTGATTTCCAACGGTGTCGCTGCACGGTCTGGAACACCCTCATGGTTTTTGTTGTCATCTTCATGGGTGATGGGGGTAGGGTGACAAATCGCTCTCAGTCCACACGGAGCTGCATGGCAGGGGGAGTGAGGATCATTCGAGTTCCTGTGAGTGAATCCTGGATTGGTAGATGCTTTCCACATGCTGTGAATATCCTGATCCATCAACTTTGATTCCACCTCGTGACCTGATCCTTCAGGCAGAGAAGGTGCGGAAGAGTTCTGTTTTCCATGTACTTCTGTTTTAGTAGTTGTTGAATTGATCCTCATATCAACGTCACTCGAGTGACCAGAGACGCGGCCGGTACCCACTACATCACCACTAGTGGGAGTCGGCGTCCAAAATTCCTCAACTTCAAGAGAATCTGTTTTAGCAGTTGTGTTCATAAACAAATTGACGTCATTTTCAGAGGATAAACTTTCCGGCAGTCCATCATTTACATCTGTGCTTGATATCGGGACTTCTGATTCTTGGAATTTCTTGTACACTTCTACTAAAATCGGTTCATCGTTCATTGGTACGCTTTCGGTGGTGGTAGAAGTACTGAGGTGACGGTTATGCTCATTAATAACTCTATCATCTTTCAATAAAGCGACAATGTTTTCTTCCGTTCTTGGTGTACTTTTAAGCTGATGCGAATTGAGCCTATGGCCTCCACCGGCTCGATGAGTGTTTGGGTTAGTCCGATCAATTGTGTTACGGATTCTACCATTTTCAATGTAATGGTCAGAAGAAGCTTTCGATTTTATGAATTCGGCGACCCTAGGATCACTATCCTCAGCATATGGTGGTTGTTTCATCCCCTGGTATGGGATGAGCTCAGGCTTGTGGATGTACTTGAATCTGGACACACTCAAGTCGAAGATGGCAGATCCCAATGTTGGTGAAGTCGGGGAAGTTAAGCTGTGAGTTGCGTCCTTTTCCCCCTGTCCGACGTTCTTAAACAAATTTTCATCAGTGAAAGTTGGAACGTTAATAGTTAACGTTGGTGCCAGGTCACTCAATTCAGAAGATTCGGTTTCAACACTGACGTCATTGGTAGTTTTACCGCCTTTATCGGCGGCATTATCTGATGGGGATAACGATGTCAGGTCATCTAAATCAGGATTGTTCAATTCACCCTCCGTTAATGTAAGTGAGGAACGTGATTCAGCAGAATTGAAATCGTTTTCCTTCGAATTTAATATCGTACTTTTCAAGGCGATAATTAAATTTTCACTATCTGTTGTATTCTCAAGGATGAAGCTGTTGTTGATCATATTACCAGGCGTTTCGGTACTTGTTTGAATCAGCAAATGGGTCTCTTGAAACGTTGGAGTTTCCATCGTACTTGCCCCTACCGGTACGGGTCCTTCATTTCTAGTATCGCTAAATTCTTGGAACGCCAAACCTAATTGGGGATCCTCGGTATTCCTTGTATTTCTTCCTTGTATTGAGGATATCATTTCTCTGTCGCCCAAAACGTCATTATTCCAAGTAGCGTTGGTGTTGTTGGTCCAAGTGGGATTCACTGAGTTTTGCGTTTGAGTTGAGATACCACCCGAAATTGTTGAGGGAGAAGTGGTGGGTACTGTTGCCAACAGGTACAATGGGTACTCTTCTGAGCCTCGGAGCTTTGATTCTGTTTCATGCACTTCTAAAACAGATGGGATTGTGGATTTAGTTTGCATTATAGTCGCTTCGTTTGAGGATTCAGTTGTCGTCAGCAGTAATGGCATTGGTTCTGTAGAAAACGTTGCAGAGCTTTCTGGCAATGCGATAGTCGAGTTGAACGAGCCTCTTCCGTTATGGTAAGTTTCATACAAAAGTTCTTTTGGATGTTCAATGTTTAGTGTCGTCACGTCAGAAATTGTAGCATTTTTCCCGTTAGAAAATTTCATAACCTGCTGTTTGGAATTCACATTAGGAGCCTCGGTCAGGTCTAAATTTTCAAAATAAGTAGATTTACTTGGAATTCCAGTTTCAGTTGATGCGAGAGTGACGTTTCTTCCTTCACCTAAACTGTTAGTTCCTTCTGAACTTGTTGGGTTTTTCATTTGCAATGACAGAGATCCACGTGGTTCCTGTAATGAGTTTGCTTGTTGAGCACTCACTAAATTATCTAAATCTATCGGGGATGAATTTTCTTCTAAGCCCATTAGATGCATCAAAGTTGCAGGTATCGCTGAGTTCGCGAAATCCGGTTGAATTGTAGTCTCGGAAGATTTCTCATCGAGTGAAATATCTCTTCCATGAGAGCTGGGAGTGCTTGAGGGTTGGGTGGATTGAATCCAAAGGGCGGCGCCGTTTTTCATTCCATGTTGAAAAGCTGGTGTCGTTTCGGACAACATCGTTGAATCTGATGATTTTAGAAATCTGTTTTGTTGATGCGGTACCGTGTCAGCACCGGGGCTTGTCAATATTATTGATTCGTTCCCCCTGGCTCGCGCCGGCGCTGTAGAATCTAGCTGCGCTTGCGGTAAAGATGAGGAAGAAAATTCAACATTTTTCGGCAATATTTGTTCATGATGGGACTGAGAGTGGGTATGGTCGGCTGCAAATACATTTTCAGTGACAGAAGACGCTGAATTTTCGCGGAAAACTTCGGAATTTTCGGAATTCGACCGCAGGGTGAGTCCATCTAATTTAGTTGATTTACTAATGGACGAGTTAACATTTTGAATATTTGGCGAGGGGGAATTAATTCTTGATTGAACTTTGGGAATTTCGATATTGGGTTGCCCTTTTGAAGTTCCAGTTGGGGAGGGATGGGGAACACCTAAAAAGGGGGACCGCAATGAGGATAAGAATTCCGCGGACAGACGTTTTGGAGGCGGATGAGGGATAGACTGAAAAGGTTGATGAATAGTGTCAGTTGTTTGTTGAATAGGATAGAAGGGTTGTTGAATGCTATCGACTGGGCGAGTAAGAGAATGACGGGTTTGTTGAATACTAGCAATTGGTTGTTGATTATGATGACGTGGCTGTTGTTCTTTATTCTTTTGTTTACGGCGTCGGTTTGTCTGTCGTCTGGAAGGCATTTCCCGTGACACTTGTAATGAAATACGACGCAAAAATTATTTTATCTCATAATGAGGCAATACAATTTATTGCTTTAAATGATTTTGATAATGTATTGTATCAATTACCGAAATAATAATAATTTAATTCACATAAATCTTCTCTATTGCGTTTCACTTTACTCACAAAACATATTCAAACGGTCGCGATATTTTTATTCAAATAAACCGTCGCTTGATATTAACTTGTAATAATAAAATGTAGATTTATTTCTATTAAATGTTCATTTCCACGTATCAAATGTTCATTCAAACTTGGCTAAAACTGTTTTAATTTTCATCGTGGCAAGCACGAAGGTAAAGTGTTTCAATATCACACATTTTCCAATCCGTTCATTTTCCAATCCGTTAAATATTTCGGTCAACATTACTCCTAAATTATATTTAAGTATTGCTAGGTCTACACGCATAGAATTATTCACAAATTCTTCTCTCAGTTTTCAAATCGTGCCGTTGGTTCGACCACCAAGTGAAGAAGCCTTGCACACGGGAGCGACACACCCTCACTCGACAACGGCTCGAGAGCCACTGAACAAGTGAGGGTAGGTGGCTGTAAGCACGGCGCCCTCGGTAGCCAAGATTGCCTCAAACCCCTCAACTTCTCAGAGTAAAGATAACATTACCGGTAGGAATAACATAGAGAAGAGGGTATTGGGTTGCAATGTTTCCTGTTTGATTGTAAAGTTGAACTCTAACCGAAGCCGTTGACTGAATAAAGGGTAGCTGTTGAATCAAAGGGAACATTCATTCCCTCAAATGAGGATTTTTTGCTTTTTTATAGTGCACGTTTAATTTAAGTTCTGATTTCTCCGCTCATACGATAACTGAAAACATAACATTTTATGTCATTTTGATATTTGTAAATAGAATTTTACTTGCTAAAAATTCATGGCTTTCTTTCCTTCATGAAAATAATTGTCTTCCTGAATATATATTTTCTGTTTGTTGATTCAGGATAACGATATGCAGAATTATATAATAAATGTTGTTTAGAAGTTATTTTGCAGCAGAATATTATCATGTTTTAACAACATAAACTTGTTAGTAAACTGTCGGTTTGGTCCCGAATTTCAAATAAAAAGCTTATATGTGATGAATGCTGTTCAATATGTTGTAGTTTTCATCGCATGTATTATATTTGTTATAGAATAATAATGAAACAAATTATTAAAATTGAAATTTTATTGACTCATGATTTGGTTATGTATTTGAGAACATCTTCTAGACAAGAAATGAAATATATTGAAAATTTCTTATTAATCCATATAAATTTAGAAAAAATTTAAAATATTATAATCCAAGTTGATAGCAATCCACTACAAGTTTATACAAATTCTATCGAAAATATATTAAATAATCTATATAAGTAGATTGATTATTTATTATATATGGTATATGGTATATCTAATGGTATATGGTATATAGTATATGATATATGGTATATCTAATGGTATATGGTATATGGGTCGACATTATTTGAATAGACCAGTTTTTGAAGATCGCACTTCGGAACTCCGAAATTTCACGAGAAAAATACGCAATATTACTCTATTTTGTCGAGGGGTTGTCGGCAATGAACTGGGCAACCACCTTGAACCCTTCCCACGTCTCCTCGGCCGTAGGAATTATTAATCTCTCCGGGAGTTCGAACCCGTAAAGCCCCTGGTCCCTGAGCTCGATGGTGTATGCGTACTCAGACCCTCCTACACCGAGGGCCCAGTCATCAGAGCCTCCAGCAGCGATGTCTGTAAGAAATTTAATTATTTTTAGCACATTTTCTCATTTATGGAAAAAATGCACTATTGTGCTCGCCATGTCCGTCCGTCTGTCTTTCCGTCCGTCAGTCTGTCTGTCCGTCCGTCTGTCTGTCTGTCCGTCCGTCTGTCTGTCCGTCCGTCAGTCTGTCTGTCCGTCCGTCTGTCTGTCTGTCCGTCAGTCTGTCTGTCCGTCCGTCTGTCTGTCTGTCCGTCTGTCTGTCTGTCCGTCCGTCAGTCTGTCTGTCCGTCCGTCTGTCTGTCCGTCCGTCAGTCTGTCTGTCCGTCTGTCCGTCTGTCCGTCCGTCTGTCTGTCCGTCCGTCCGCCTGTCCGTCCGTCCGTGACCTCAAGTTTTCGTTGACGAGAAAATGCGCTCTCTGTCACTCACTGCAGTGAGTACTGAGTTAATTTTTTTTAACTTTTAAACTATTTAATTATTTAAATTACATTATAAATAAATTAATGGATCATATTGTCCAAATATTGACACATTTCCTTGTGCTCTGCGAAAGAGATCGGACGTACCACTCATACGACCTTTTACCGGGCCAAAGTGGGTCAGGCTGACCCATACAAGCGCAAAAGTGAATCACATTCTAATTTATTTAATGAATGAATAATTTTTTCGGTATTTAATATAGTTTTTATTTAAATATTTATTTTAATTATTTAATTCAATTATTTAATTTAATTATTTAATTTAAATATAGAACTTAATTATTTTAAATATTTCATTTAATCACATAATTTATTTAATTTTAATGTTACATGAAACGTCATGCCACTAAAATATGGCGTATTAATCTTTAGGAATGTTTATAAAATATAATATGATATATATATATATAATATCTTCAACAAACAATATTATTTATTAGTATATATTATATACTAATAAATAATATAATAAAACATAAATAATATATTAATAAATAATATAATTATTAGTACAGTAAATAATATAATCTATATCATTAATGACACTAAGTTGAATAAACAATATAATTATTAGTATAATAAACAATATAATCATTAAATACATTAATGACACTAACAGATGGTGTATATATTATATTCTAATAAATAATATATTAATAAACAATTTAATATATAACATTAAGTATACTAACAGATGGTGTTGGTGGAGGATCATTCTTTATGAAATATGGCATATCATTCTTTATGAACTGTTATAAAACTATAATATATATAATATATTCAACAAACAATATTATTTATTAGTAAACATAAAAATATTTAATTTTATCTATAATAATAATAATACTAACAGATGGTCTTGGTCGAAGATCATTCTTTATGAACTGTTATAAAACTATAATAAATATAATATATTCATTATACAATATTATGTATTGTAAACATAAAAATATATAATTTAATCTATAACAATAAAACACTAACAGATGGTGTTGGTGGAGGAGCCCACACTATACAGTATATTATAAAATAAATATAATATATAAAAAAATATTATTTATTAATATATATTATAAACTATTAAATAATATATTAATAAACAATATAATCTATAACATTAATTATACTAACAGATGGTGTTGGTCGAGGAGCCGACTTCGTACTGCGTGCCGTGGACGGCCGTGAGGGCGGCCACCGCTGCTCTGGCCAGCGAGTCCTGGTGGTTATTAATAATTGATGATATTTATTAATAATTAACAAATTTATTCACAATTATCATTCATAAGTAAAGAAGAATTCTTTACTTATGCCAGCGAGTCCTGAAAATTATGATTAATTAATGATATTCATTAATAATTAACAAATTTATTTGAAATTATCATTTATTAGTAAAGAAAATATTAAAGATTATGTCAATAATTCACTATTAGAAGTTATTTATAATAAACATTTATTAGTGAAAGATAAAATGTTCCTGGCCAGCGAGTCCTGGTGAATATAAGTAATTAATGAAATTCATTATTAATTAATGAATTTATTCACAATTATCATTCATTAGTAAAGAAAAAAATATTAAGAAATTTATACATAATTATCATTTATTAGTGAAGATGATATATATAATTAATTCATAAAATTCATTAATAATTAACAAATTTATACACAATTATCATTCATTAGTAAAGAAAAAAATATTAAGAAATTTATACACAATTATCATTCATTAGTAAAGAAAAAAATATTAACGAATTTATTCACAATTATCATTTATTAATAAAGAAATAAATATTAACAAATTTATTCATAATTATAATTTATAAGTAAAGAAAAAACCTGATGGTTATTATTAATTGATGATATTCATTAATAATTAACGAATTTATTCACAATTATAATTTATAAGTGAAGAAAAAAACCTGATGATTATAATTAATTGATGATATTTATTATTAATTAACAAATTTATTTGAGATTATCATTCATTAGTAAAGAAAAAAATATTGTCAAATTTATTCACAATTATCATTTATTAGTAAAGAAAATATTAAAGATTATGTCAATAATTCACTATTAGAATTTATTTATAATAAACATTTATTAGTGAAAGATAAAATAGTCCTGGCCAGCGAGTCCTGGTGAATATGATTAATTAATGATATTTATTAATAATTAATGAATTTATTCACAATTATCATTTATAAGTGGAGAAAAAAGCTAATGATTATAATTAATTGATGAAATTTATTATTAATTAATGAATTTATTTGAGATTATCATTTATTAGTAAAGAAAAAATATTAACAAATTTGTTCACAATTATCGTTTATTAGTAAAGAAAAAACCTGGTGATTAGAATTAATTGATGAAATTTAACAATAATTAACGAATTCATTTAGGATTATCTTTTATTAGTAATGTAAATTCTTAATTGATTAAATTCATTATTAATTGACGAATTTATTTACAATTATCATTTTTAAGCAAAGAAGAATCCAAAAAATTACGTAATTAATTCGCTATTAGTATTTAATTATAACTTTTATTCATTAGTTAAAGATAATCCAGAAGATCATGATGTTTATAATTAATAAAAATTTGTTAATTATGTTGTACTGTTTTCAGTGATGAAAAATAGCGCCAATTATTATATACAAAACATTATATAATTATATTATGAAATATATTGTATTATTGAAATAATATATAATTATATATAATATATATATTATAATTATATATATAATATATAATTATTATATATAATATATAATTATATATAATTTATGAAATTATTATTATTATATATTGATCAATTAACGAGATATCTCATTAGAGTAAAAAATTTGCCTCTAATTACCCTTCGATCCATGTTAATTAATTAATCATTTAGTTATTATTAATTATTATTTGCATTTTGTTTATATAGATTTACTTAATATTTATTTTACTAAATAACAATCGTCTAATTAAACTAAATACGGCAGGTTTGATGCGTAGCCCCTGGCGCCTATTTCAAATTATAACTTTTTAATTAAATAATTAATTTAATTACTAATTATCCCCAAGGATCTAATTATTATTATAACTTTTAAATCAAATAATTAATTTAATTACTAATTATCCCCAAGGATCTAATTTTTATTATAACTTTTAAATCAAATAATTAATTTAATTATAAGATTTTTATTTAAATCTGAGGCCCCACCCTCTGGGGAAGAATTTTTAGCTTTTTTAATCAATAAATTATAAGATTTTTATTTAAATCTGAGGCCCCACCCTCTGGGGAAGAATTTTTTTTAATTTTTATTAATTTATTCGTATATTTTTTATATAAGATTTTAATTTTAGGATTTATATAAGATTTTTAATTTTCTTAATATTAATTTTATAATGTTAAAATTATATAATTATATAATTTTAATTAAACTCTTTACCCTCGTTTCAAGCTGACTAAACGGTGAGGTCTGAGGCCCCGCCCTCTGGGGAAATTTTTTTCGGGTTTTTATTAAATAATTTGCATGATTTTTATATAAAATTCTAATTTTGGCCTCTTATTACCCTCATTTCAAGCTCACTAGATGGTGAGGTCAAAAGCCCCCACCCTGTGGAGAAAATTTTTTGTTTCTTTAATAAATAATTTATTTGATTTTTATATAAAATTCCGATTTGAGTACCTCATTACCCTCGTTTTAAGCTCGCTAAATGGTGAAATCAAAGGCCCCACCCTCTGGGAAAATTGTTTTGGGTTTTTAATGAATAATTTATATGATTTTTATATAAAATTCTAATTTTGGCCTCTTGTTACCCTCGTTTCAAGCTCACTAAATGGTTAGGTCAGAGGCTACTTTCTCTGTGGTAAGAATTTATGGTTCTAAATAGAAATATTTATAAAATTATTGTTTCATTCAAAGTTTGATAACATAATTATAATAATTATTCTATAATATGATCATTATGACATAATTATAGTAAAGATATTATAACACTATAACTATCCTTAATCCCTTGTTCTCTTAATACATTTAATATATATACTTTTGCATTTCTACTTAAAGAAATATTTTTCGAAGTGCTTCTTAAAATCTATTCTATAATATTCTATTATATCAAATTATTAATAATATTATTATATCATATTAAATGATATTATTAATGCTATCATTTAATATTAAATAGTATTATATTATTAATATTTTATCTGTTCATTAAAGGGGTTTAATAAGCGATAGACTGAAATGAAAATAATATTAAAATTTAAACAATATTCTACAGTGAACAATACAGATGTTGGGTGACTTAATATTAAATAATATTATATTATTAATATTTTATCTGTTTATTAAAGGAGTTCAATAAGCGAAAGACTAAAATGACACTGAAATTTAAATTTAAACAATACATTGAACACAACAACACAGATGTTGGGTGACTCTCACCCATCCAGTGGAAGCTCCAGTTCCTGTTGGGGTCCGTGCCCACGCAGGGGCTCCCGGCGTTGGGGGAACGCGTCTTGCGCCACAGACGGTCCTGTTTGTAGTTTAGTTGAATAATTAGTTAATTAGCTATTTGATTTATTAGTTTTTAAATTCGTTACTTGATTAGCTAATTAACTACTTAATTGATTAAATAAGTAATTTATTAGCAGAATAATTATTTAATTAGTTAGTTATTTAATTAGTTACTTTATTAGTGTTTTAATTATTTAGTGAATTAGTTAGTTAATTAATTAAGTAGTTAATTAGTTAGTTAATTAAATAAATAGTTAATTAGTTAGTTAATTAGTTCATTAATTAGTTCATTAATTAGTTAGTTAATTAGTGTTGACGGCACAATAAATAGAACTACACTCAGAAAAGACATAGGGTCATACTGTCCAAGAAGTGACACTTTCTTACCCACAGCACGAGCAGGAAGCGGACGTAGGACACTGATGTACTCTCGAAAAAATTCAATGTAAGATATTGTGGGATACTATATACTTTTATATAGTATGCAAAGAGAGGACGTAGCATCGATACGCCGTTTAAACCTACTAAATCTGGGTCAGGATGAAAAAAAAGTCTTCGATACTTGGGCATAGTCCCACACACATCTTTGAGTGTACCTAAATTCAACGTTAGATTATTGTGGTGAATCAATTAATGGTTATATTGATGTTTATGGTTGTCGGTTTAGACCTATAAATTGCAAGTAATGGAGTATTAATGGAATGGAAGTTGTAGGCATAGCCATTTTGGTGATGAAAAGCATGATGAACTTACATCGGTTGACCCAAACTATTACGACAAGTGTGTCCTGAGAGTATGACAAGTGAGTCCTGAGAGTATGATAAGTGAGTCCTGAGAGTATGACAAGTGAGTCCTGAGAGTATGACAAGTGTGTCCTGAGAGTATGACAAGTGTGTCCTGAGAGTATGACAAGTGTGTCCTGATAGTATGCCGAGCCGAGGCCGGGTGTTCTTCAAACTTGAAGCCGAAGCGGACATCAGCGGCTGCTATACATGCTCACCGAGTCCTGGGTGGCACCTGATGCAGAGTCGAGCCAACCTCTAATTTTTTAGGGAAGATGTAGTCATAACCACAAGGATTAATGACAGGCATGATAGACAGCATGACGGGCAGAACTATGGACTCACGTCAGTGAAGGTGTATGCATAACCATCAGGGTTGATGACTGGCATGAAGTAGAAATCCACCGAGTCCAGCAGACCGACGCCATCACCAGCCACCAGTTGCTGGATGAAGTACGTCACTGTGGCAGGGGCGATCCACTCTCTGGCGTGGATACCTACGTGGACATGGCAATTCGGGGTGAGTCTACTTCTTGTTGTTGTTTTGTGAGTCTACTTCTTCACCACTACCGGCGGCAAGAAGCAAGCAACAGCATCGTGCATCAGCTGGCCCAACTTAGGGTAGATGTGCGTTGACTGCAGACTGGCCCTCTGTACCTCAGCGGCGAGGACAACTTACATGCCAGGGGCCATACTTTCAAAACTCGCTAAGTGAACGTAAGTACTTACGTTCTATTTTTTTGTCTACGATTAGTGGATTTTGCCTGAAATGCCGTCAGTGATTGGCTGATGAACTTACGATCTCTTAACTTTTTTTGAAAGTATGGGCCCAGGGCGGATGGCGGCAAAATACAGGAGGCGAAACTCCAAAGTGGCTTGGGACTACGTCGTCCGAAACATATACTAATGATGAAGAGCCTTAGGATCCGCAGTAAATGAAGATGGGGACTTACCGCCGTCAGTGAAGATGGCATCTTTGCCGGTCCCTCCGGTGGACAGCTTAAGGAGCTTCATGGTACGTCCTTCGTAAGACGTGCCCACGTCCGTTACGGTCGCAATGGACGGGTAATCGGCGGCCAAACTGTCCAGCCACGCATTGATCTGGTCGAGAGGTCACAGAGGGCGTCAGAGGGGTCATGGTTGTCGAGAGGTCATGAGTAGTTATATGAAGTATTTTTATTGCCGACTATCAAAATATATCAATGGACAACCACGCATCCTAAGAAGGGGATGCGGGTGTCCTTGACAAATACAAAAGTAAAATGGCACCCAGTCACCATCATGAGAATTTAGGCGACCATTAAGTAACCATAATAAGTTTAGTAAAATAACTGGAGTTACCTCCATAAGTAAATAAGTACTGGGCACCCAGGAACCATCACGAAGATGTGGGTGCCCAGTAACTAAATGGTAAATAACGGAGCACCCAGTAACCATCATGAAGATGCAGGTACTCAGTAAAAAATAATTAAAAACCGGCCACCCAGTACCATAGAGTAAACATATCAAGGAAGTGGGCACCCAGTTCAAAGTAACAAACCAATAAGACATCCAGCGACCATCTACTACATATTAAGCAGGTGATGCGGGTGCCTTGTACATAATAACAAAGTAATAGAACATCTAGCAACCATCACCTTCCACCCTGTCAAAATCAAGGAAAATCATTTTTTAGGGTACTCAACAATTAGCGAGGATGTGGTTGCCTTGGACAAAGTAAATAGTAAGTGGGCGTAATACGACATGCTTACTACTCACGAACCTCCTGGTACCTCAGCCATGTCACCACTGGTACCTAGAAGTAGGTACCTCGTCATAGTTGTAGTAGGCGTCCCACGACAGCCTGGCGTCCCCAGCCTTGGTCCGGGCCTGCAGGTGCCTCTCCTTCAGGTCATCGAGGTGGCGGTGGACGTCGGCGATGTGTACACTGTACTGCAGTTTACGCTGCTGAATCACCGCCTTCAACATCGGCAGGTCCCAACGCCGGGCCATGATGTCGATTTCGCCTGTAAGAAGAAATGTGTTTCCTGATCGGTGTTGTTTACTGACGGGAAAAAGTAATATCCTGATAGTAGTAATTTGTGTCCTAATGGCAGTGAGGTTATTGACTGAAGGGAAAATACGAGGGTCATCCGGAACGTAGTACCCGTTTCGGAATTGAACAAAAGGAAGTAAATATTGACAAATGTAAACATGTTTATTGAAAAGAACATGTATTACACTACTTCTCTACATAATCTTCGGACAAATTTAAGCATTTGTCGTATCGTGTCACAAATTTTTGTATACCAGTGTCATATTCCTCCGCCGCCAGTGTTTTGAGACACGCAGTCACCTGTTCTTTCAGTTCTTCGTCATTTTGAAACTTTGTCCTTGCCACGAAGTCCTTGATATTCGTAAACAGATGAAAATCTGAAGGAGCCAAGTCCGGACTGTAGGGTGGATGGTCGAAAATTTCCCACTTGAATTTTTTGGAGAAGTTGTTGTGTTATCCGAGCCGTGTGCGGCCTGGCATCATCGTGCAGGAGAATTATCGTCGATTTTGGCATCATCGTCGATTTTGAATTTACCCACCGTAATTTTTTTTACTGTTGCACAATATGCATTGCCATTGATTGTGTCTCCACGGGTCATGAAATCGATGAGCAGTACACCTTGATGATCCCAGAAACACTGGCGGCGCAGGCATATGGCACTGGTATACATAAACTCGTGGCACGATACGACAAATGCTTAAACTTGTCCGGAGATTATGTAGAGAAGTAGTGTAATACATGTTCTTTTCAATAAACATGTTTACATTTGTTAATATTGTTAATATTTACTTCCTTTTGTTCAATTCCCAAACGGGTACTACTTTCCGGATGACCCTCGTATCATCTAGTGAGGGCACTAAGCTGGGTAATGGAAGAGGGTTGGGTTTGGGCAATATGTTTTGTCCTGAGGGTACAAGTTGTACGTATTCTAAGAAGAAGAGGGAATTGTAGACCAAGAGGAAAACTATCTCCATAGGGTACTAAGTTGTGCCATAAGGTGAGGGGGATAGGTGGTTTATTAAGGGGAACAGTTATATAGTGAAGATACTAATTAAGTTGGTTCCTGACAAGAGAGGGAGGTGGGTTAGCTGAGGGGAGATACCTATTAAGTTAGGAGACTATAAAAAAACAGGTTTAGGTAAGGCTTGAAGTTTTCTCCTGAGGGACTAATTTCCTTTATCTAATCAACCCAACTTTCCCTACGTACCGAGTACATATGCTCCACTTGACTAGTCACGCACCTAGGGCACGCAGCTCGGTCCTACCTAGCCCACTTAACTAGTCACATACACATGCACTTGGCTCGGTTCTGCCTAGTCCACTTAACAATTCACATACCTAGAGCACGTTCCTCGGTCCTAGCTTGTCCACTTAACTAGCCACCTACCCAGGGCACGCGGCTCAGTCCAGAAGTCCAGTGTGGTATGCGATTGCAGGTACGCAAAGTACCTCAGGTCCGCGAGGTCCGTCACCTTCACCCTAAGTACCTGCGCCCTGCACCAAATACACAAGAGTATTAATGGGTGGAGTAATGTCCACATAGTGACACGCCGTTTAAACACCCGAAGTATTTCCGCTCTGCACATGAACACAAGAAAATTAATAGGTCATTTATTTTATAAATAATGACATCCATCCAAATAATTCTCATCCATTGCACGAGCAGACAGCAGACGTAGTACGGTTATATCACTCAGAAAAATGAATGGGTTGTAGGTTAGGTTAGGTATGCTGCTTAGGCTAAGTTAGTCAAAGTTAGGTTAGTTTAGGTTATGTTAGAAAAATATGTCAGTTGATGATAGTATAGTTTAGGGTAGGTTAGTTGAGATTAGGTTAGCTAATGTTTGGGTAGTTGATGTTAGGGTAGTTGAAGTTTGGTTAGTTGAAGTTAGGTTAGTTGAGGTTAGGATAGTTGATGTTAGGGTAGTTGAGGTTAGGTTTGTTGAGGTTAGGTTAATTGAGGTTGGGTTAGTTGAGGTTAGGATAGTTGATGTTAGGGTTGTTGAGGTTAGGTTTGTTGAGTTTAGGTTAGTTGAGGTTAGGTTAGTTGAGGTTAGGTTAGTTGTTGTTAGGTTAGTGTAGGTTTGGGTAGTTGAGGTAGATAAGTTGAGTTTATGTTAGGTCAGATTCGATTATATTAGGTTAGGTTAATTTAGGTTAGGATCGCAGACGTCCCACTCACCCGTGGGTGTCTCGTGAAGGCTCGTGGAGTGGTCCCGCCACCGCCAGAGAAACGCCCGCCAACAATACCGCCAACTGCAACTTCATCCTGAACCTGTGGTAGGTGGCGGTGTTACTAGTCTAACTAGTTGCGATTGAAACTACTTACACTACTTATTGTAATTATTTATGCACTAACTAGTTTCACTAAAACCCATGCAAATGAAGACCTAAACATAACTGGTCACGATAAATCCCGCACAACTTATAACTTACTTGTACCTAGTCACCTTAAAAACATACACTTGAAACCTTACTTCTACCTAGTCACCATAAACCCGTACAACTAATAACTTGTACCTAGTCACCATATACTAGCCGTTCATCTAATAACTGAATGAAACTAGTCTCCGTAAACCGCACAAATAATAACTGATTTGTACCTATGTCACTTTACAACCAGTACGACCAACAATTTACTACTACCTAGTCACCATACTAGCCGTACATCTAGTAGCTCAACGTACCTAGTCACCGTAAACCGCACAACTAATAACTGCATGAGTTGTACCTAGTCACCGTTCAGCCCGTACAACTAAAAACTCACTACTACCTAGTCACTGTACAACCCGTACATCGAATAACCTACTTGTACCTAGTTGCCCTAAAACTAATGAATATTTAACATATAGCTAGAAACTATACAAATGTTACACATAAAACCGTAAATGCTACCAGTTTCGATGCCATCTACAGTTACAAATATTGTCTAGCTTCTTGCATCATAATACATTATAATTATAATCGGGCGATAAATATATAAAATATAATTGTAATATAATTAACATAATTGCGTTACACAATTATGTTAATTATGCAACACTGAACACTCAGGAAAATATAAAGACTTTGTCCAAATAGCGATGAACTTTTTAGCCCGTTTGTGTAAGCCATTCTAAACCAAATTAGCCCGGGTGTATCATGCAGGTATTACATAGACAAAGTGTGTCACTATTTGAACAAAATTACTCATTTTTCTAAGCAATAAAAACTGTAGGACAAGTAACGGAAAGTACGATTTAACTTCGAAATTTGGGATTTTTTTTGCAAGTTTTTACCATATTCTTTGATAAATTTGGTAATTAAAATTGAAAATGTATAATTTTTCTTCAAATTTTTAGTCCGATTTATCTTATTCATTGGTAAATTTTTTAAATGTATAATTTTTGTAAAAATGTATACTTTTTTCAAATTTTTACCCCGATATTCGAAGCGGCTAATACTTTCCCCTTGTATAAGCAACTTAACTAGACGCGTCTTAGACTTAATAAATAATAAATACTTAATTTGGCACTCTCACCTTCAAGTTCCAAGTTCCATCAGTGGGCACCACAGCACCTTTTATAACATAGGTACGTGGGAATTACCCACGTGTGGGTACAGACGGTCCACATATGTGGGTTCCCATGTGTCCCGTGATTTCTTCTTCTAATGCTTCGTGTAAATAAGTCATATATAAACCAAGTATATGCTTCAAATTAGCCTTTTCTGTAGGTAAAAAATGTGTCCCGTGATTTCTTCCTCAAAAAATTCGTGTAAATATGGTATATATGTGTCCAAATATATGACTTGAAATTGTCCTTTTCTGGGGGTGAAAAGGATAATTTTTCACCCAGAGACCTTGCATGGAGCGTTCGAAGTCTGATACCCCCTTTTACAGGGGGTATCACTAGGGTAAAATGGGGTATCACTAGGGTATGAACTAGGGTAAAAAGTGCACCGCCATTTGGAGTAAAAACACATTTATTTGAATATTTACTATGCGCTTGCCTGTAAGTCATGAAATGTTAAATCTGCTTTTTATGCCTTTTCTTAGTTCATTAATTACTGTAGCGTGTAGAAATAGTATTATATTATTATAATACTATTATTAGTATTATATATTATATTAGTATTATATATAATAGTAGTATTATTAGTAGAAATAGTATATTATTAGTAGAATAGTAGAAATAGTATTAGTAGAACAGATGGTGAATACATGTAATGTATACATGATAAAAGAAGCCTAGTTAGAACTTAAACTATTAAAATTACGACATATTTATTATATTTATTATATTATATTATTTTATATTATATTATATTATATTCTATTATAAAATTCTTATATTATATTGTATTATTTTATATTATATTAAATATTTTCAAATTATTGTTTATCTGTTATCTTAATTTATCTGTTAATCTTAATTTACATTTAAAAGCTGTTTAATCATGTTTACAAATTTAAGACTTTTTTCCTCAATGGAATATTTTCCGAAAAACATCTGTCTTTTTCCAAGCCTGTTGACTGTTATTGGGAACCGAAAGGTGCTTTATAGACCAGTTATTTGTTATTTTTATTGCATGGCAACCAATTTTTCAATCTTTATCAGCAGGAGTCGGTCGGCTGATAAGACTAGATGCCGCTTCTACTCAAGTGTTTTGTGGTGCTCAACCACCTGCCTAGAAGTAATTTAGTTCGGAGACAAACATTTTATGCTCATTTTACATTATTTATGTAAATCCTAAACAATACATTATTTATGTTTTCTAAAATAGCGGTATTTATTTTCACCGTGTTTTGATTGGATATAAGTATTAAATTTGATAGGATATAAGTATTAAATTATAAGTATTCAATTTGATTGGATATAAGTATTAAATTAAATTCTTGAATCATAAGTTAACCAGGAATTTAAAAGCAAAGGCAATACAACAAAAATTTACCATGTCTTTATAAGAGAAACGTTTCGGAGTCCAGCTCCATCGTCAGTTCATAACACAAAATTCTGTTCAGAAAAAGTTCAGTCCTATAAACACAAATACAATCAATTAGTAAAGTAAAATCCACTGTCAGGTTTCAAAACGGGAAATAAATAAAACATGAAATTACATTACATTATTACATTGCATTATAATACATTATTTAATAGCGTGATTTATAGAGTAATCGATTGATTTTATTTCTTATCCTTATAGAGGCATTTTCTTTTCAATTGTCAAACCTAAAATTTATTTTATTTCGTGCTGGATTCTATATGTTAGAACTGCGGTTTCTAAAGCGGGCGATATAACCCCCCCGGGGGGGGGCAAAGTTTGTACGTTTGTTTGACGATTTGTACACAACACGTGCAGAACATGACTCCGACTCGAATAAATTTTCACGAGCTAAAAATCACCGTTTGGAATTTATACTCAAAATTTGGTTCGAATCTGTTCAGTATTTTCGAAAACAGAACATGACTCCGACTCGAATAAATTTTCACCAGCTAAAAATCATCGTTTGGTAGTTAGGAATTTATATTCAAAATTTCGTTCGAATCTGTTCAGTAGGTTGGAAGAAATTCTTTGATCACTGCGAATTTCGGCCCGTATCGCCATTTAACTCGCGATTGAAGGTGAAATTTAAAAACTTTTCACGAGCTAAACATCACAGTTAGGTCCTAATGAATACGTGTTCCAAGTTTTATCGAGCTGCGTTCATTAGTTTGGGAGATATTCCTTGGTCACTGAATTTGGAGATTGGCCGTGAGACCGGCCACGAGTCCGGCCGTAAATTTAGCCCAGCTGTCTTGAATTTCTAGTGCTGAAACAGTTAAAACTATAATAAATTTATTGCTTTACTAAATGGGTTTCTATTTGTGATATACACACATGTATTTAATATTTCTCTTTTAAAATTGCAGCAAACTAAATATCAAGAGAGAGGAGTTTGTTTTTATATGTGTCTGTCGGGGGGGGGGGCGCTGAAGATTCACTGGGGAGCCAAAGGTGGCGCCATCCTGAAAATTTTGGGAACCACTGTGTTAGAATCATGTAATAATTGAAACTTTTGAGTTTATCTGGAATGCGAAATACTATATTTTCGCATTCTGCGAAGACTTTCAAATATGGCAACTAACACATGTACATTATTTGCATTATTGAAATCAGTTTTTTTAATTTCAGATCTCCGCAAAATTTTCCGTACACGCGGACGGAATCTCACACAATGACCTGACACAATTTGGCACTCGCTGCCCACATTTCCGCGACTCTGCCTTGTTCTATTATTTTCAACAGCCTAACATGTTTGCTGCACAGTGCAGATTTTACAGATTCCTGCCATGGGGCTGCATGGACGCGTCTCCAATGCTCCCACTAAAAAGCGACTAGAATAAGGCACTCGCTGCTTCATGTGTTTGTGCCGGTCTTCCTTAGAATCCTTCTTACTCCGGCCTCCACCCGCCGCCCGCGGCCGCAGCTGTGGCCTGTGAGCTGTCCCCTACATAAAACATAACCGATATTTACTTTATCTGGCTGCTGGCAACTGTCTTGTCTTGGAATATATTTATCTTTCAAGCTGCAACTTGAGCTTTCTCAACATTAGCTGCTGTTAGGCAGGGTGGCCTAGTGGTTAAAGTTCAGACTTCAGAGTACCAAGATTGACGCACTAGAGAGGTGCGGGTTCGATCCCAGCTCTGTGCGCCAGTTTCTGGTCAGAATCGGCAAGGAGGCCGGGCGGTTAAGCTCGGCAGAATTGTGGCAGCGAGTTCGAGACCACAAAATGCTGTGAATGTTCTGCAGTGTTAAGAATCGGCGACAGGCAGTATGGAATTCTGTCATAGTGGCAAAGCAGAGAGTTTTTTAGACTCTTCCTCAAGTTCATTTTTGATTCCTATAAGTAGACCAGTAAAGTATCTTGGATACCAGAATTATCATACATAAGAAATCTGTTAAAATCTTGAGTAAATGAGGAATTTAAAAATGAACTGATTCTAAAAAATCTCTGGTTTGCAACTATGAATTCTGTATAGGTAATATATTATCATGTTAACATAATAAAATGTATCGAAAACTTACCACCTTACACCTTCCACCAAAGTGACAATTGATACTCATTACACTGAGCTCGTCAGATCAGAAACTGCGGACACCCGGACAGCCGCGCTTCCTTTATCTCGCTTGCGTGTGGTTCGAAAACCGATAAAAAGTCGGCGACTCTTCCCAAATGCAAACACTAGTCAAGTATCCGTATCGACAAATTTTTTGTAACGAATATGTTCCAAAATAAAATAAAAAATTACGTCATCTTTCGCAGAAAGTTCTCACGATTTCATCGATACCCACAAAGTTCTTGAATCCACACGAAATGATGGGATAAACTGCTAAACTTTCACGGCATATGGCAACATTATGTTGACTGTTGACATTAGACAAGACGGTGTCAGACACCTTTTTTTGGTCTTGTGAAGTTCGATTTCACAATAATTAGACTTGATCCACATTCCATACTGACATTTAAATGATGGAAATTTGTTTCAAATTATAAATACCAATTAATACGCATCCAGACATACGTTTTTTCATGTTTTTTGCCTATTTTGTCAATATTGTCTATATAATTAACTTCACCTCAGATTCTAAATGATTTCGTCTGCCATCCCGCGTTTTCGAACGTTTTGTGTCTTTTAGAAAATTTTCGTTGTTTAACATGGGAAACTATTTCATTATATAAAACAGAGCACGTACCATATAGTGCATTAATAATACAAATTAATTTAATAAAAATTAATTTTTAATATAAAAAATATAATCAGATTTTTAATTCAACATTTTTCTAATAGAATTTAATTCTACAGCTTGTACCGTCTAGTGTATTAAATAATAAAATTTGATTTAGTAAAATTTAATTTTAATTAATTTTTTAATATAATTTAATTCTACAGCTTCAACCGGTAAAAATGAGCATCATCGGAATGAAAGTAAAACTGTCATTCATACATCACAAATTGAGTGACAATGGATGGATTTGATAGGTATTTTATTAATCCTGTTTATATGTAAAAACGGAAATGATGTTTCTATTTCAGAATGATAATGGAAATGTTCCTACTATTTCAGAAAATTTTCCTGAATACACTTGCGAAAACTAAAGTTCTGCAATCAATGAGGTCTTCGATAATGACAAAATTGTTCAATTTAAAAATTTTAGCTATTTGAGTGAGACCGCCATATTCGTCATTCGTCAATCATCATAGAAGCTGTAAGCAAAAATTCATTGTTTTTGATGTAAAAGAATGTTTTTCAATTATTTGTAGGAGTTATGAGTCCTTCGGTTGAGCTGAGTCCGCAGGCGAGTCCGCAAAAGTGTCGATTCAGTTCTTGAATTTTTTTGCCTCAAATAATGTTGTATCGAAAAACTGGTCTAGGTGTAGCGAAAATAATATATGAACTGTAAATTTTAGAATTCCATCCTGGCGACAGGCCTACGGCCTACTAAACACTGAAACCGCTATATAACATTTCCGGAGCCACAAGATTTCAGCTAAATGAATTATCTTCTATCTAATTGTTAATAAAACTGTACAATCAGCCTGGCAATAAACTACAATAAAACTAATAGCCTGGCAGCCCAGCTGCCAGGCTATTACCCTGTTTGACAGTATTTCAATGCAGTGACACCTGACACCATAATCTCCCTCATTATTTCAATGCAGTGACATCACATTAATATAGGTACCTACTACCTAGCTACCTATATCTGCCTATCAATTCAAACGGGATCCTAATCCATATTCATTATTATCATATTACATTACATTATTACACCTCAACACAGCCCCAATTCACATTAAATATGACCTATATTTAATGTAAATTGGGCTTTGATGACATGTAAGTGGCAACTGCTTGCTGTCATGTGTCATGGTTTTTTTTTCTAGAAACTGGGGAATCAGCATTTTGATGAACTTGGTTCTCTTTGCATTGATTAAATATTTATTTGTATTTGTAAATCAAGTTTTATCTCATTAGTTTTGCATTGAAAAATAAATAATATCAGTAGGAAATCTGGCTTGAGACGTTCAACAGGGCATGATGGAGTGTCTTACAGCTGTTTAACCGTTTTTTTTATCGTTCAAATAATTAGCCCTTTAGTGGCTCTTTCTTTTTTGCTAAAGGGCGGTACATTTGGGTCGGTTCTGTTAAATTAAATCAATTTATCAGAACAAAGGGAGACTCATGAGGGTCAAAATGAAATGTCTTAACTTTCCGCAAGATTCATAACCTGAGTAATTTAATAAATTGCACTTAAATTACATCTTCAAAGCAATGAATCAGTGTCTAGGAACAATTTTGTTTTATGCTTTACAGACTGTAATACCACCTTAAATAGCACTAATGATGATTCATTAAAGACACATTTATTATTATATCTACCTATATCTTTTCTTCTCTGTTATTTTCCAGTGTGCTTTGATGTTACCTAAAATCATATAAAATTTTGAAAATGTTTAGATTAAAATGTTTAGAAACTGTATCTCTACAGCATATTCAATATTTCTACTATTGAAAAATTTGTCCAGTTTTTTTTCTAATTTTACCAGGTCTCCTGTGTGGTTTTTTATATACCCCTACCAACTAAAATCCTAGAAAAACAAAAAAAAATATATCTACATTTTTCTCATTGTAATTCTACATTTTATTTTTGTGTACGGTAACTAAAATCATTGAAAATTCTAACAATATCTACATTTTTCTCATTTGTACCTTTACAGTACATGTGTTATGAGATAACTAAAATTATTTATTATTTTTAGATAGGCTATTTATTATTTTATTTGTACCTTGACAGTAGATGTGTTATGAGATAACTAAAATTATTTATTATTTTTAGATAGGCTATTTATTATTTTATTTGTACCTTGACAGTATATGTGCTATGAGATAATTAAAATTATTTATTATTTTTAGATAGGCTATTTATTTTTTAACAATATCTACATTTTTCTCATTTGTACCTTGACAGTACCTACATGTGTTATGAGATAACTAAAATTATTTATTATTTTTAGATAGGCTGTTTATTATTTTATTTGTGATGGCAGCCAAAGTTCTGTGGGGCAGCGTAGCCTGTGCTCTCATATCTGTGTTATCTGCGGCCGGCGGGATGTTGGTCCTGGCGTCTGATGAGACGAAGGTGAGAAGCATATTTTGTACTGATAAAATTTTATTATTGTATTATATTATATTGATTATATACCATATTTTATTGATAATCAATTATTATTTTATTATATATCATACATATATAAAAATTATTGATAATTTTTATTCTTATTGCTTTTAGATTCAATGCTAGAACTTGAACACAATCTGGTATGTATATTTTATGTGTATTAATTTTACCCACAGCTTGTTTATTGATTGTTCACACACAGTAGCACACAATGCACTAGAGGTACGTGATAGAAAAGAACACAAAATAAACTATAAATATGTATAAACACAAAACTTTAACACAATCTGCAATATTTTTATGTGTACCTATTAATTTTACTTAGAACTGAAACCCAATCTGTACTTGATAGATTTAATAGATAGATTTTGATAGATTTAGATTTTACAACTTCTAATTGAAAAAGCTGTGCATAGTTGGTTTGTGATGAATAGGTATGCTGCTGAACATTTGTAGACTTTTTAATTTATATTGTTTCTACCTAAATCTTTTAACCAATATTTAGCAGGTTTCTTGAAAATTTGTTTGCAAAAAATTTGTTTAAAGGTGGTTTTTACGAGTGCTGCTGAAAATTGACTACCGGTGTTTTACTTGATTTTCCTAACAGTAATTACATTTACCCTATGAGGGGTAATTAATTACCCCTACTTGGGGAATTTTATCTTGACTGGGGTAATATTTTCACAAATGGGGTAATATCCTATTCATTGTAATCTATTGATTGTAAATTTCATGTAGGTATAAAAAATGAATTTATCTCTATAAGCTGGAAAAGAATGGGTTGATATGAATTTTGGTGAATTCTGAATGAACAATTATCATAAATTTGAATTAAGGCATAGTATCTTGGCTGACACCATCTTCTAATAGTTGTTATTAATTTAAGGGTGAAGATTTTGATTTAGTATTTTATAAATGATCTTATTTTTCAGAAAAGATTATTAAAGAAAAATTCCCTATTTCCTGAGAATGTTTACATTTGCATTACATAATATTCATATGATTATGTTCCCGTAATATCATTATTTCTGACACACAACGCTAAATTATATTAAATCACAATTAATAAATTCAAAGTTTAATTTAAAATTATAACTTAGATTTGCATTATACAAGATATAAAATTCATGTGATTATGTTCCAGTAATATCATTATTGCTGCCATAATTAAACAACACACAATGCTAAATTGTATTAAATCACAATTATTAAATTAATAGTTTTATTAAAATTATAAATTATTATTATTATTTAAATATTAATATATATTATTATTTTAATATTTATTTATATTCAATATTTAATTAATATTCATATTTAAATATTAATAAATAATTATTTATAAAAATTATAGGTTTGTTATAAAATATCCTGTTTCTGCACAGGAACATCGGTTTGCCAAGATGTGGTTCACCTTATTGAATTAAATTAAAACATTAAATTAAATTAAAACCATTAACATATTAAATTAAAACCATTAAATTAAATTAAACATTGGCATATTAAATTAAAAGTTTTATTTAAGTTTTCTGCACAGGAGCATCGGTTTGCCAAGATGTGGTTCACCTTATTAAATTAAATTAAAACCATTAAATTAAATTAAAACCATTAAATTAAATTAAAACCATTAAATTAAATTAAAACCATTAAATTGAATTAAACATTAAATTGAATTAAACATTGACATATTAAATTAAAAGAAGTTTTATTTAAGTTTTCTGCGCAGGAGCATCGGTTTGGCAAGATGTGGTTCACCTTGCACCTCATCACGGCCGGCATTGCTGCCACTAACTACAGTAAAGGTTGGCACCCTAATTAATAACTTAATTTAAATTGAATCTAAAATTAGTTAATTAGATTAGATTGCGCAGTAAAGGTGAGCAGCTTAATTAATAACTTAATTTAAAATTAATTCAAAATTAATTAATTTTACCAGACTCAAAGAAATGAATGAGACTTGTCCAAATTAAAATTTAATTTAAAATAATTTAATTGCCACTAACTACAGTAAAGGTGAGCAGCTTAAATAATAATGTAATTAAAATTTAATTTATAATTATGTAATTAATTTTACTGGACTGAAGGAAATGAACGAGACATGTCCAACTTAATTAATAATGTAGTAATTAAAAATTAATTTAAAATTAGTTATTTAGATTGCACTCAAAGAAATGAATGAGACTTACAAACTACTACAGTAAAGTTGAGCACCTTAATTAATAAGTTAAATTAAAATATAATTTAAAATTAGTTAATTAGATTGCACTCAAAGAAATGAACGAGACTTCTCCAAATGTTTATACACTTTTTGCACACTTTTGCACTTTTTGCATTTATGGAAAAAAATGCACTATTGTGCTTGTCATGTTGTCCGTCTGTCCGTCTGCCTGTCCGTCCGTCTGTCTGTCCGTTCATCCGTCCGTCTGTCCGTTCATCCGTCCGTCTGTCCGTCCGTCTGTCTGTCTGTCCGTCCGTCCGTCCGTCTGTCCGTGACTTCACGCTTTCGTCGACGAGAAAATGCGCTCTCTGTCACTCACTGCAGCGAGTACTGAGTTATATTTTTTATAGTTTTAATTTTCAGATCAAATTTCAAATTAAATTTAAATTAGTTAAATTAGATTGATAGATAGATTTTGTTAAGTGTCTCCATTGTAAAGCATTTATTGATATTGTTTAGCTTTATTATTAATTGTTGAGAGTTGGTTGGTTCAACTGTTGTTTAGATTTTAAACAATTTAAAAAATCATTATTCAAACCTTGCATTTTAATTATTCAATTAGGGGCAAACTTAAATATGTGATGATCTGATTATTTTGTAATCTCTATAATACCGGTAATATATTTTGTAATCTTTATGATAATAATTTTATAATATTTATTCAATGGTTCCATAATCAATTTGCTTGTTTACTCTGTTCATACTAAATTTATTAACTTAATAACTCTAAATATTTAATGAAGTCATTCATTAAATAAGTCTTTATGTAGTTCATTTATAAAACAGATTCATTTATTTCAATAGATACGTATTAAATTAATAAATAAACTAGTAGTGATACGTTATTAGTTTCATAAATGAACTATTAATGATATCAGATTCAATAGGTATATTATTTATGATTTATTATTTTTAATTATTATTATTTATTATTTTATTTTTAACAAATTAATTTGTTTGCAGTTGTTCACTGGCAGCATGCAGCTCAGCTTTAGTAGCTCGGCTAGTAATGATATTAGATTAATAAATGAAATAGTACGTAATAATATTATATTCAATATATTATTTATTATTTATTACATTCAATTATTATTATATTATTATTTTATTTTTAACAAATTACTATGTTTGCAGTTGTTCACTGGCAGCGTGCAGCTCAGCTAGTAATGATATTAGATTAATAAATGAAATAGTACGTAATAATATTATATTCAATATATTATTTATGATTTATTATTCTTAATTATTAATATATTATTATTCAATTATTAATAATTAATATGT